GTGTTCATTTGGGGCTGGATAAATGAAGCAGAAATAGCGCGTTTCCAGGAAGCAGTAGAATGCTTGCACATCTTGGTGAAAGCTCGAATGCGGAATGACAAGTCCTACAATTGGCTGGGACCTAGCTGCCAGACACTCGTGTCACTAACATTGTGCGGGCTTCAGCAAGGCAGACCCCACCATCCAGGGCTGTCATTCACATGTGAGAGGGAGTCCTGGCCTTCAGAGGCGAGTGTGGTCAGTGGGGATGGGGGCAGCTGGGGGGTTCATGGGCCCCAAGGGGCAGCGTCAGGAGAGGCAGAAAGGGCCGGGTCTGGGGAGGGCAGGGGAGGGGGAGAGGACAGTGGAACACAGGTACAGGGGGAGGGATGAGCTTGGGGATGGGCGGGCAAGGCCGCAGCTCCTTGACCCCTCTGTTCTTCGTGAGGCCTTGCTCTGCCCTGTGTCACGGTCTCTCCGCTTGTCTCCCTGCCCGGCAGGTCCACTCTGTCCAGGTGCTGCAACGCCCCCGCCTTTCTCTTCACCACTCAGAAGAACACTCCCCTGGGGACGAAGCTCAAGTACGAGGTGGACACGAGCGGCATCTACCACATCAACCAGGAGATCTTCCGCATGTTTCCCAAGGTGTTGCTTCGGGCAGGGGTGGTCTGGGGGCACGACCCTTGCTCTGCCCCCGCACCCCGTTGTCTTGGTCCTGGTTGGCCCAGTAGACCACCCTGTAGATTTCCTTGGGGGGGTTCTATCTGGGCCCAATGAATGCCAACTGGCTATTATTTGAGTGACTTTTGGCAAGAAAATGGTTATAAAATTCTGGGTACTTGCACTGCTTGCAGAGGACAACCTGCAGGTACCTGGGAGAATGATTAGCATTCGTCCCCCACCTGAGGTAGGCACGAGAGCAGAAACACGCATGCAGAGGTTGTGTGCACAACAAAGCACACCTGATACAAATCAAGGCGCTGAAAGATTTAGATCATATGGATGACCTTGGGTGGTTATTTTGTCTTTCAAAGCCTCAGTTTCCTTGTCTGTAACACTGAGGTTTGGATGAGGAATAGGTTTGGCTTCTTCTAACAGAATATCTAAAATATCAGAGACTTAAACAAGGTAGGCATTTATTTTTTTCTTTCACATTAAAGAATTCTGGGGGTCGGCTGTTCAGGGCTAGCATGAGGGCTCCCTGGTCATGGGGGACCACAGAATGAATGATCCACAGACATAAACTGTTCTGATCACTGAAGCTTGGTTCCTGCGCTCACCTGGGCCGACCATTCTCAGAGAAGGGGCCCTAGATCCTGCATTTACAGGTGATTCTGACAGCAGGCAGGTTGCGTGAGGCATGTAACCACGGCCTGGAGAACTCCAGGCCCAGGGCAACACTTAGTGGGTCCAATTTGTAGAGATGATGAGTGGGGGTATGTGCAGGTTTTTCTGGAAGAAATCTGAGGGCCTGGGCTGCTCTGCTTCTTGGGGAGAGTGCTAATGAAACACAGCCCAGAGTTTCCCTGCGTTCTGTCCTGGTCCCAGAGTATACTGGTAAGACTCGGGCATTCTGGGGGCAGGGGACAGAGCTGGGGATGAGAGGTGTCAGACGTGTTCTCCTCCCTCACAGTGCTAGAGGAGGGTGGCATTGAGCTACCTTTACAAGCTGGGTCTTGCAAGACCTGGGACATGAGGCTGGTGACAGCAGGTAAACTTGCATCTCACGCAGAGTCTGGTATGACGTATAGGAGAGCCAGGGGTATGGACCGCCGAGGCGCAGGGACATAGAGCAGAGGTCGCCAAACATTCTCTGGAAAGGGCCAGACTGTGACTGAGGCTTTGCAGGCCAGATTCTCTCTGTCACTACTACTCACCTCTGTCTTTCCGGCACAAAAGCAGCCACAGGCTGACTCGAGTAAACAGACGAGAGTGGCTGTGTTCCAGTAACACTTCAGGTGTTATTAGACACTGAAATCTGAATTTTATATAATTTTCGCACATCGCCAAATACTCTTCTTTGGGTTGTTTCCAATCATTTAAAAATATAAAATCCATTCTTAGCTTGCAGGCCATGCAAAAAACAGGTGGTCGGCCAGACGTGACCCATCGGCTGTAGTTGGCTGGTTCCTGAGTGAGGGCACGTGACACAGAATAGCATTTCTCAAACTTCCTCAAAATAAGTATTTCGTTGGGTTTATAAAAAATTCAGCTTCTCAGTCTCTGATCCTCACCGTGGAGATTCTGATGTCGTGATGCTAAGATGGAGGCCGGAGTTTATATTTTCAGCAAGCAGCCCAGGTAGTTCTTGGTTTACAAAAGTTTGGGAAACACCCACATAGAACATGATAAGCCTTTGGTGATTTTTCCAAAGATAACTTTATTTTCCTTTCTCTGGTAACAGTCAAACAGTGCAGTTTCTCCCACTGGCTGGGAGACACCCTTGTTTTTCCTGTCCTGGGCCTGTCCCTCCAGGGTAAGTGGGCCATGAACAGGACAGTTCCTTTAGCTTTAGCCTAATTCCTGATGACCCCAGTGCAACGTGTGGTTCTCCGGGAGACCCCGCCTGGAGCCGGCCCCTCTCATGCAGGGCTGGCCAGTGGTGTGTGCTAGAAGGAAAGCTGCCCAGCAGGCCCCTGGATGCCAAAGATGGGAGGGACCTTTGGGGCCTTCTAATAGTAACAAGTCTCTTGACCGCTCTTCTCCTCTCTAAAGTGGAAAACCACTTTCCTTCCACGTTCCCATGAGGCTGTGTCACGGGGCCATGAGCCGGTAGCGGTAGATGTGGCTGCAGAGCGCCAGCTGACGGCAGGGGGTGGCCTTGGCCCTGACCACTGTGCTATGCCTCCCCCAGGACATGCCCTACTACCGGTCGCAGTTTAAGAAGTGCGCGGTGGTGGGCAACGGAGGCATCCTAAAGAACAGCCGCTGCGGGAGGGAGATCAACAGCGCCGACTTTGTCTTCCGGTAAAGAGTCGCCCTCGGTCTGCACCCGCCGCGTGAACCCCCAGCCCTCCTGCTGTGTGCTCCTCTCCCGTGTGTGGCCCCACCGACCAGTGCCCTAATGCTGCCCTCCAAGCGATTAACCGCTGCTCCCCTCCCCTGCAGGCCCTCACGCCCTGGGGTATCCCTTCCTCTCTCCAGCCCCATCCCTTTGGGGAAGTCCTTGAACTCTCAGGTCCTCAGTTTCCACATCTGCACGATGGGAAGTGTGTAAAGAGCAAAGGGCATAACCAGTGTGAAGCTGCTGAGGACTCAGGGGGTGCAGATGTGTCAGTGAGGTCCTCTGGGCAGCCGTCCCCCGGGTGGGTGCTACCCTTTCAGAAGCACTGTTTGGAACCAAGGCAGTCTCACTATGGACACCAATACTGACTTCACCTTGGCTTTAACTAAGCCAGAGACTGGTCCTTGTATTTCTTCTTCCTTATGTGGAACCCCCACGCCCTTATCTCTCTGGGGACCCTCACTTACATCTTTAGCTTGGGTAAAGGGGACATGTCGAAAATAAGAGCTTAAAGCAGAGAAACTCGGGTTGAGTTTGCAGGAGTGTCTCATGGGTCAGGGATCCACAATCACTGGGCCACTCAGAGTTAGTGGCAGGGAGGGTAGAGCAGGTTCAGGGTGACTGGAAGTCCTGAAATAAAGGCAGCTCCTCCATATTTTGGGTTCCTGGCTATGTAACCAGCCTTTTGTCTCTAGGAGAGGGGAGCCCCTGAACACCCTGCTCCAGGCTTGGAAGTAGTGTCACCTGCTGTCAGGGGTCACCTCCCTCTGCTGCCCAGAGTCAGCGTGCATGGTCCCTGTGGACAGCAAGTTGAGTCCAGGATCAGGGGTTAAGATTCCTTCCACGCCACAGCCACTGGCCCTCGCTGAGCCACATTCCTGCCATGGGAGGCAGAGAAAACCTCCTCTTTAAAGATGGTCTTGCGGGGAGAAACCTAGGTCTCTGGGGGCTCCTTGAACTTCAGTGCAGACTCCACCATCGCTAGACCTCCAGCAGTCCAGGGGCTACTCAAGCTTGTAACTGCATATGTTGGATGTGGTTTTCCTGTCCCCTATAACCGGAACTTCAGCAAGATGAGGGCTGAGCCTCTTTGCTGTCTCCGTGCCTGACATAGTGCAGAAGGATCACTATCTTATTACCCAGCCACAGAGAACCCTGCCCACGTGATCGCCATCTCATCCTCCCTCCCCCACCCCCCCAGCTCGGCCTGTCCAATGACTGGCCATCTGCAGTGTGGCTGCCTTGTCTCTGCTCCAGGTGCAACCTGCCCCCCATCTCAGAGAAGTACACCGTGGATGTGGGGGTGAAGACGGACGTGGTCACCGTGAACCCCAGCATCATCACTGAGAGGTCAGTGGCCCTCTTTCTAGAACTGTGCTGTCCAACATGCAGCTGCTGGGCAAGGATGTGTGGCTAGTCCAGACTGAGATGTGCCAGCTGTACACATAAAACACACAGCAGGTTTCAAAGACTCAATACAAAGAAACGATGTAACATATCTCACTAATTTTTATATTAATTATATGTTGAAATGATAGTATTTTCAATATAGTAGATTAAATAAAATATAAAAATTAACTTCTCTTATTTCTTTCTACTTTTTAAAATGTGCTTACTAGAACATTTAACATTACATACATAGCCTGCATGATTCTCTTGGACAGCCCTGGTCTAGACTATCTTCTCCTGGAGTTGGGTCGGAGAGCGTCCCAGCATGTGATGGGGCAGGCAGCTCCCTCCCTGGCTGTGTGGCTTTGGGGAGAAGCTCAGGCAAAGATCTCAATGCCCCACCTGGCTGCCCTCCTGAGGTCTGTCTGGGAGGTCTCAGGGGAGGTGCTGAGACCCCAATGCTGGGCATAGTCCCACTTATCCAGGTCAGCGGAAGGGTGAGAGGAGGGGACGGTGGGAGACGAGGGGGTGTTAAATTGGATCAGATGCTCAGGGAACACCTGTCAAGGTGCCATGCAGAGGCAGAGGGTTAGCAGAGTGACCGTGCAAAGGAGTGCTCAGAGTGGCGAGAGAGTGCCCAAGAGGGAAGGTGGCTTCATGTGGAGAAACTGCAGGAGAGAAGCCACCGCTACAAGGCAGGCAGGGGCTGAGCCAGAGGAGGCAGCGGCCTGTGGGGGCCAGCCCTGGGATCTTGGGGAAGACAGTATAGGTGACTGACGTGAGGCCTCCAGGTCAAGCCTCCACTCCCCCAGCTAGCCCCGCCTGGGCCACCCTCATCCTTTTGGGTTCAGCATTGCCTTCACTCCTGCAGCCACACACTTGCTATTTGTCCCTTTGGGTCCCAATTGCCCTCTCTTGCACCCACCGATAAAAACACAACCGTCCCCGAGAAAGATGATACCTTTATCTGCTCAAGTGTGTGAGGTGCAAGTAGGCAGGGTGGCCTCAGGAGTCCCCTCCGCCCTTTGCAACGCCCCAGGGCGCAGGGGTGCGGAAGCGAGGGACGTGGGAGCACGGAGGGGTGGGCGCTGACCCTGTCGCTCTGGCCCCCGTGCAGGTTCCACAAGCTGGAGAAGTGGCGGCGGCCCTTCTACCGCGTGCTGCAGGTGTACGAGAACGCGTCGGTGCTGCTGCCCGCCTTCTACAACACGCGCAACACCGACGTGTCCATCCGCGTCAAGTACGTGCTGGACGACTTCGAGTCGCCGCAGGCCGTCTACTACTTCCACCCGCAGTACCTGGTCAACGTGTCGCGCTACTGGCTCAGCCTGGGGGTGCGCGCCAAGCGCATCAGCACCGGCCTCATCCTGGCCACCGCGGCGCTCGAGCTCTGCGAGGAGGTGCACCTGTTCGGCTTCTGGGCCTTCCCCATGAACCCCTCGGGCCTCTACATCACCCACCACTACTACGACAACGTCAAGCCACGCCCCGGCTTCCACGCCATGCCCTCTGAGATCTTCACCTTCCTGCACCTGCACAGCCGCGGCATCCTCCGTGTGCACACGGGCACCTGCAGCTGCTGCTGACACCCGCCAGGCTGCTGGGCAAACTGGGTGCCCCGAGCTGGGCAGTGTGGGGGCCTGCCATTAGGGCTGTCACCCCTCAGTAGTTCAGCTTTACGCTTGGGTCCGGGGGTGGGGAAGTAGGGACAGGGGCCCGCACAGAGGCAGCTCTGTGCTCAGCCTCCCAGACCTGGCCTCCGCGCTGTGCCTCCACCTGCCCAGAGCTAGCATGCTATGGGGCCACGCCCCAAGATCGGGGCCCTGGGGTTTGCAAGTGAATAAAGCACATTTCCAGCCAATTTTGTCATCGGAGAGAGCACAAACTGTAGGCCCTGGTTGCAGCTAAAGGAAGCCCTCCAGAGAATGGAACAGAGGGAGGACACAGGACATGTGACAGGACACTCGAGCACAATCAAGATTTCATTCAGACTTTTGGGATCTTGAGTTTTATATAAAAGACTTAGCTATGAATTGCTATCTAGAATCTCAGAGCTTAGAGGCCGACCCCTCGGCCAGAACTTCCAGCGAAGAAGGAAGGTCTCAGAGGTCCAGGAACTTAACAGACAAGCCACACCACCCGACGTGTTTGTCAAGTGACACTGAGAGATCCAATGCAAGGCTTGTGTCAGGATCTCTTCTGAGGACCCCCACAACCTTTCAAACACATCCTCGGACCCTCACACACAGTCTTGGTGCCTCCAGGTTCAATCCTGCATTTGATCTTTCGATGAGAAGGAAATAAACTAGACCAGCCATTTGCACTACGGTTTCCAAGCCAGTGTTATCGACTTGATAAGTGCTTAGCAATTTGCTTCCTCTTCTGTCTATTTTCAGCTCCATTTAAACCAGGAGTTATTTATAAAGATCTGTTCCTCTTATGTCCCTGAATACTGCAGAATCCTGCTGTACCGTGTTCCTCAGTTGGAACTGTGAGGCTCTGGGCTGGAAAATGCTGCATATCATGCGATGAGCTTAGTGAATGGAAGCGAATCGTGACCTTCGACACCAGCATCACTGAGGTTTCTGCTGGGAGGGCAGGATTTCCCACGGTGCACGCCCTGGGGCCTTCACACGCAAGGACTCCCAGGGCCTGAGCTTGGGGAAGTCAGCTAGCCCTAGGCTGAGAGGGATTCACAAGTCATTTCACATCTGAAATTCTTTCCCTTTGCTTCCCCCAAGGTGTTTCTGCCATTAATGCAACTGTGTCTGAGAGACACGGTTGGTGAATTGCCATAGGGCTTAGCTTCGTAGCATCATAAATGTTAGTGCTGGGAGGACTTCAGCCCACCTGCCTGACCTCTTCTCTCCTTCCTTCCCTCTCTTCCTTTCTTCTGCAATCCCTTCTTCCCTCCCTCCCTTAAACATTTCTGGAAAGCCTCTTCTTCTTTGGTCTGTGATTGGGCTTGGGAAGATACAATGACAAAGAAAGTCATTACCTCTGTCTTTTGGGGTGGAGGGCAGACCCAGTCCCACATGCTGGGTGCTCTAAGGATTAGGAGTGGGGAGAACATAGCAGGGGGAAGAACCTTCCATCGGATCATCTGCGTTTATAGGCAAAGCCATGGGCGCAGCCGGAGAGGGGCAGAAGAGAGTGCAGGCTCTGTCCCAGGCCTCCAGACTCCCGGTCCAGGGCTTCTTTCTTGGCCAGACCTCTTTGTCTTACTTGTGTTTCCCATTGGTGGGTTGGTGTAGGGGGCATGCACCCTGCACAGCACTGTTCTAGATGTTGACTTTCACCCGCACTCTGAGCTCTGGTCCTGACTGGGAAAACCTCAGACTGCTCTGAGCCTCAGTCTGCTGGTCTGTAAAGTAGGAGAGTCACCATGAAGGCAAAGTGGGCCCAAACACGTGGTCAACCGGGAAAGATGACACCAAGACAGTGGGTGGTTGTTGCTTTCTTGAGCTCTGCCTGTTTCTCCCAAGGAAGGAACTTCTGGGAAAGATTCCAGTTCGCTGAGATTTCCAGCCACTGTTCATGGTTAACTGCACCCAGTTCTTGAAACCACGGAATGTCAAAACTGAGAGGCTCTTAAAGACCATTGTGTCCCACTTAAGGAAACAGGCCCAGAACAGGGACGTGACCTGGGTCGAGTCATGCCTGGAGCTCTTCTGCTCTCTGGACAGAACTCTCTACTGGAAGCGCTCTGGGTAATATTTATGTTCCATATGGGGCAGGAGGCTTAGTGAGTCAGACAGCAGGGTTCCCACAGCCAAGGGGGGTTGAGTGGAATCAGCTCCAGCTGGGGCTTCACAGGAGCTGGGCATGGAGCATCAGGATCCGTCCCATGTAGGGGCTGGGACACCTGGCTTGTGGCAGTATTTCTGCCTGTGGGTCTTAGGGCAATTCCTTCCTTTCCCTCAGGGTCTCAGTGTCCTCATGCCTACAACTAGAAGCTTGGTAAAGACTCTAGGGCCTCTGCAACCTCCGTTTGTTTTCGGAGACATTCGTGATGTATGGATCTAAGCCATAAGTAACATATATTGTTAGAATAACTAGGATTTACCTGCTCTGGTTCTGTGCCAGGCCCTGCTTTATCTCCTGTAACCTTCACGAGACCCCCTTAGTAAGGAGGCTCCCGTTGCACAGGGGAGCAGGCTGAGGCTCAGAGCAAATCAGGGACTTGCCCGTGCTCGGGCACCCAGTGGAGGGAGCTGCACCCAGGTCTGTAGAGCCCCAAAGCCTGTGCTCCACACCTGTCATAGCTTCCCAGCCAGTGTCACCAGGGCTGGAGCAACAGGGATCTTGACCACGATGCTATCGCAGGGTCGTGCTGGGCCCTGCTCTAGCGACAAATGCTCTGGAGGCTGTCATGGGTCCGGGCGGCAGTCTCTGCTTGCAGGTGCCTCCCCCAGCCCTGCCCCTGCAGCAGTGCCGACTTACCCACAGCGACACTGGAGGGGAACTGGGGGCCATTTCTATGTTTTTCAGGAGAAGAGAGATGCCCAGACAGGGTACATGTTAAGTCACAACACGAGTGACTTACCCAGTGCCACATGGCCAGCTAGTGGCTCAGCTGGGACTCACCCAGTCTCCTGGCTTTCTCCTGTAGCCAGTGTGTATAGGAAAACATTTCTCCAAAGGCCCAGAGAGACCTGGCATTGATGCTGGAAGCCCTCTGCCGTGTTCCTCCGCAGCCCTGCCACCACCCCACCGGGCAGTGCAGACAACCTATTAAATTATTATCTAAGGGAAATCAATTCCCCACAAACAAAACAACCATCATGTCTTTGTCCGTGCCAAGCCCACTGCTCCAGGCTTGAACTGCAGCAGGGACAAGTGAATGACTCGGTGCTTAGCCAAGCAAAAAAAAAAAAATGTGACTCAAGGTCAGATGCAGCCTCTGAGACCATTTCACAATGCTGGGTGGCAACTCTGCCCACTAATCACCTGGTGCCAGAGACAGCCCAGCGCTCACTGCCCTTGACTGTGCTAGCATGGGGAGGACGCAGAGCAGCTTCCAACACTGAGGGGGAGCAGAGTGCTGGCCTCAGCCCGTCACTCCCACTTTATGGAGTGAATTGGTGAATACGTTATGTTTACTGAGTGCTCATTTGGTGCCAGGCCCTGTGCTAGGTTCCAGGGAACTATGATGAACAGAATGTAGTCCCTGCCCTCCTGGAGCTCATGGTCTGCTGTGTGGACAGGTGTAAAGGGAAGAATCCCACAACACACACAGGAGCTGGCGGTGCCGAGTGCTGCGGAGTCCGGGCTCAGGGACAGGTATGACGGGGGCAGGGGATGGCCGAAGTCAATTCTGAATTCTGAAGGTTGGCAGCATAAAGAGCGTAACCGGCAAAGCCCTGGGTACCTCTCAGGTCTCATCCTTGACATCAGTGTGACACTTGCCAGGATTGGCCTCTGGTCTTTTTGGGGGCCTCAGCTCCTTTGTTTCCTAACAAGCCATCTCCCCTCCCTTTCCTCCTGTCTCTCTGAATGCTCCTTCTCAGGCTCCTTTATTGATTGATGTACCATGAAGCTTCCTCAGGGTTCTCTTGTCTCACTAGGAGCGTTCCTGCAGAAATCTCATCTGTTCGCAGCCTTAAGTATCTCCTGTCCTGTCGCCTAAACCCCTTACGTGCAGGCCAGTTCTTCCTAGGGGCATCAGAAGCATGGATGCCTGTGTCTGCACGGCACCTCAAACCTCAATGTGTCCTCAACTGGTCTAGTTTAAAGAATGATCTGGCCTCAGAGTCTCCTCCCACTACTGAGTAGCTCTGTGACCTTGGGCGAGCTCCCAAAGCCCCTGGAGGCTCTGATTCATCATCTGAAATGAGGACAGGACACCAACCTCACCAGCTGTTGCAAGGGCTAAATGAAATAGTGTTGCTAGACACTCAGTGCGGGGGGCCTCTGCCCAAAACTTGGGTCACCCTTGCCTTTTCCTTTTCCTTCACTCTTTATGCCTATTTGTTCACCAAATCTTGTCAATTCCAACTCATAATAAACATCCTTTGATTCATTCCCTTCCTACGTCCCCTCTGCCACTGCCCTAACCCAGGCCCTTCTGACTGCTCTCTCTGCGTTCAGAGAATTACCTACTGAAAACACCTTCGTGGGGCCCAGGGCCTGCCTGTACCATGAAGTTCAGATTCTTTACCAAGTCATGCCCTGCAGTCCCAGGCTGGCTCACTTACCTTCCCAGAGACCCTCCTGCCCCCTCTCTGTGCCTCCATACTATTCCAGGCACTGTGCCTTTGCACAAGCAGTTTCACACGGCTGGAATGGCCCCACACTCCTCCTTCCCTCCCTCCTGCCTCTTATCTGGCAGATTATCTGCCTCTTTTTGCAGATAATGTCAGGTTATGGCCTCTGCATCCTCCCCTCTGGGAACCTGGGCTGGGCACTCTTTCCTCTGTGCTTCTGCTGTGACCTTTGTTGACTTCCATTAGGACATCCTCACAGCACACGGCATCAGTGCCTGCTGTGTCCTTGGTGGAGGGCCTATCTTTTGCCCCAGGGAAGGAAGACACAGTATCCAGACCATCTTTGTGCACCCAGCACTGACATAGAACTGCAAGGTGGTGGCCACTCGACACACGTTTGCT